TAAAGTACGCCACCGGGTCTACGCTGATCCACTATGACAACGACATCAGCCCGGCGTTCCACTATTACGAATGCGTGGGCACTGGCTTAAACATTTCTCAGATCACTGGTAGCACTCACTCCAGACTTATTCAATGCTTGACTTCACGTGTCCCTTCCTTAGGATTTCACGACGATTTGGCTAAATATCAGCATCCAAGCAACACGTCTGGAGAACACGAGTCGCCTGGAAACAGGCCTTCTCCAGACACACCAGACGCTTCATCGCCGAGCGAAGGCCGTCTGTCGACAATCTATGAGGAAAATGAGGAACACAATATTGAAGCTATGATGCTGGAAGAGTGGTACGACGAGCTACGTATGGACCTTCATCCTACGACGATTACCGATGATTATCTTTATTGCGTCCCAACAACTATGCTGCCCGACCAGTGTGTTTTGGTTTCAGCATTTGTGGACGAAGATGATATTATATCATCAGATATGCTCGGAGACGAGCCGAAATCATGTGAGTCCTGTCTAGTCTCTCTTTGTTCAAACACAGCCGACGAGAGCTACTCTCTAGACAGTGATGAATACGGTCCTTACGTTGAACTATGCTTTACATCAGAAATGTCTAAAATAGTGTTGGATCAGACTCAACTTGCACAGCTCGATACCGATATGGTCGCAACGATGAGAGTATATGTATCCTCTGCTGCTAAACGTGCTGTGGTTGTCAAAGAAGATGATCTACTAACCAAAGCCGACATAGCAGCACATCCAAAGGAGGTTAGTGAAGCCTTATATACTGAGCTCAAAATCTGGATTGATAATCGATGCTTTGAGATGTACGATTTATCCAAAGCTTCCAACATCATGACGTCCAGATATGTATACAAGTGGAAGTTCGTAAAGATGGGTACCGAGAACGTTAAAACCATTCGTCTCAGACTGGTCCTTCGTGGATTTATGGATACTGAGGCTTTTGATGTGGAAACATTCTCGGGAACCGCCAGAAGGCAGTCCCAACGACTCCTGGCAAGTGAAGCGGCATGCCATCCAGAGTGGATCTTAGCATCCATGGATATCGATAAGGCGTTCCTCACGGGTTTGACCGATGAGGAACTTGCCCATGCCACCGGCGAGGAAACTCGCATGGTTTGCTTTACTCTTCCACCAGGAAGCGCTCAGGTACTTCGTACATTACCCGGCTTCTCATCCTACGACGAAAGTCGACACTGTCTTAGATGCCTCAAACCAGGAACGGGTACTAAGGACGCTCCAAGAGCGTTCTCTCTCAAACTTCGTACGACCACACGAGCTATAGGACTTACACCGACCAGCTACGATCCTGAATTTGAATTCAGCCAAGACCTTCTGACGGCAAAACATGTAGATGATATTAATATGACAGGTCTAGAGAAAAATATAGACGACTATGTACAACGTGTCGAAAAGGTGTTTGGCAAATGCAAGCTCAACAAGCACGCATATACGAACTGCGCCGTTCGCTACACTAAGAATGATCAGGGAGATGTGATCATGGACCAGGACGAGTACATTAAACAACTACGTCCTATCACACACCCAGAACTTACAGGAGCGGCGGCCGACGCCAAAGCCACGAAACTCATTACCGACATGTTCGTCAGCCTGCGAGGAGCCCTCGCCTATGCCCTTCTTACCCAAATCTGGCTCATGGTATATGTGGTCTCTCTTCAGAAAATTCAAGAGCCCACCAATTTGCAAGTCAGACGTTTGAATGCTGTGACGCGAAAGCTGATCAGCAGCCCGAAACGCATCACCTTCCCTCGGATGAAGCCGACGAATGAAGTTGACATCCATAGCGATTCGGGGTATCGGAAGCTTACCGGGGAGGAGGATGACGAGACCAAGGGCTACGGCATACGCGGGGCCAACGTACTACGGCGAGGAAACTCGCCTCAAGGCAAGTCCGTCGTTCACCTCTGTGACGGACTATGCAAATCACACCGATTACAGGTGAGGTCCAGTTATGCTGCGGAGGCACTTGCAGCCGCACATAACCTTGATGAGTGTTACCCTACGCTCATTACTCTCCACGAGCTTAAGGCAGGGGCTTTGACTCCACGACAACTACGAGACATGCGTGAAGTTGGAGGCCTTGCTATCAAAGTCTCTCTTACCATAGACGCTGAGTCCGTCTACAAATCTTTATCAAGCAGGGATCTCAAAATACCTACAGAACGGACTCTGCTTGGACATATCAGTTGGATACGTGAGCTCATGGATATAGGTATAGTACATAATGTGCAATGGTGTGATACTAGGGATATGACCGCAGATGGGCATACAAAGGGAAGCATCGATCGGGAGCTGCTTCTGGAAGTGATGTCAGGCACTCAGTCATTTAAGTATGACGTGAAGCAAATTGTTCCCTTTCGGGGCCCCGAGGACAGAGACAAACCCAAGTCTAATCAATTTTAGTCTGTCCTTGTTGCCCTCGCGGTCCAGTTTGCCAGCACGGGCGCCTACTATAAAGGCGCCCCTTTAGCTGCTCGGAAACGAGCCTTATATTTCACGCCTGGCAACGAGCCGGCTTCGTACAACTCAGGCTCTTTGCCTTAATACACATTTGCTTGGTGAGGTATGGCCTAATTTTGGCTTACCTCTAACCAAGCCGATAGCCCTTCATTGTTTGAAGGGGCTGTCCTGTATTTGCGTGAAATACTTTGCGAGGAAACTCGCCTTACAGTCTGGTGTTTGACCAGACTGTACGCACTGTTTTCTTTTCTTTGCAAACAGTCGTGCGCGCGATCTTTGCGTGCGACTATGCTCTCCGTCTCCTCCCCTCCCGACTTTAAGGGTAGCTCTTTGGGAGATGTTGCAGTATCGGGAGCATAGCTCGCGCGCCGCTGCCTTGGGCTCAAGGCACGCGCGCCCTATTTGCCCGGACACTGCTTGTGTTCGCTATGTGCTGGAAAGATCATTACATCGATCTTATCCTATCTTACCCATCCACCCCTCATACTGTACCCTCACAGCAGAGCGATGGATGCAATTTGCCAGGCTATATGCCCTATTTGAGTTACCAGGCTCACTTTCGACTTGGTCACCCGGTCACCCGGTCAACCGGTCAGCCGGTCAACCGGTCAGCCGGTCAGCCGGTCACCCGGTCACCGGGTCACCCAGTCCACCGGTCAGCCGGTCACCCGGTCACCCGGTCAGCCGGTCATACGGTCAGCCACTCAACCGGTCCGCAGGTCAGCTTGTCAGCTGGTCATGTGGTCAGCGGGTCGACCGGTCAGCCGGTCACCCGGTCAGCTGGTCAACCAGTGAGCCGGTCAACCGGTCAGCCGGTCAACCGGTCAGCCGGTCAGCCGGTCAACCGGTCAGCCAGTCAACCGGTCAGCCGGTCAGCCGGTCAGCCGGTCAGCCGGTCAACCGGTCACCGGTCAATCGGTCAGCCGGTCAGCAGGTCAGCCGGTCAACCGGTCAGCTGGTCAGCGCCTTCATCAGCTTCTTCACGCGGCCAGCCGGTCAGCCGGTCAGCCGGTCAGCCGGTCAACCGGTCAACCGGTCAGCCGGTCAGCCGGTCGACCAGTCGACCGGTCAGCCGGTCATTTTGTCCGCAGGTCAGCTTGTCAGCTGGTCATGTGGTCAGCCGGTCGACCGGTCAGCCGGTCACCCGGTCAGCCGGTCAACTGGTCAGCCGGTCAACCGGTAACCGGTCAACCAGTCAGCCGGTCGCAGCCGGTCAGATGGTCAGCCGGTCAACCGGCCAGCTGGTCAAACGGTCAGCCATGTCAGCCGGTCAGCCGGTCAGCCGGTCAACCGGTCCGGTCAGCCGGTCAGCCCGTCAACCGGTTTGCTGGTCAACCGGTCAGCCGGTCAGCCGCGGTCAGCGGGTCAGCCGGTCAGCCGGTCAGCCGGTCAGCCGGTCAACCAGTCAGCCGGTCAACCAGTCAGCCGGTCAGCCGGTCAGCCGGTCAGCCGGTCAAGAGGTCAGCCGGTCAGCTGGTCAGCCGGTCAGCCGGTCAACCGGTCAGCCGGTCAGCCGGTCAGCCGGTCAGCCGGTCAACCGGTCAGCTGGTCAACCGGTCAGCCGGTCAGCCGGTCAGCCGGTCAGCCGGTCAACCGGTTATCCGGTCAATCGGTCAGCCGGTCAGCCGGTCAGCCGGTCAACCGGTCAGCTGGTCAGCGCCTTCATCAGCTTCTTCACGCGGCCAACGGGTCAGCCGGTCAGCCGGTCAGCCGGTCAGCTGGTCAACTGGTCAACCGGTCAGCCGGTCAGCCGGTCGACCGGTCGACCGGTCAGCCGGTCAGCCGGTCAACCGGTCAACCGGTCAGCCGGTCAGCCGGTCAGCCGGTCAGCCGGTCAGCTGGTCAACCGGTCAGCTGTTCAATTTGCACAACTATTCCACCATCGCCAGTATCGATGTACGGCCGGACCGAGGTATCAGATCGAGGCCGGTTCGGGGAGGGTACCCTAGTGCTCTTCGTGTTTGTTGGATGCTCTTGTGCATCCTAGGGGAGGTACCCTCGAATGTGCTTCAGTTCAGCAGGCAGAGGGTCTCATGTTCTTGAAGGATGTTATTCTGTCTTAAGTCCACCAGTATTTGCCTTTTCGGCCAGGCCAGCATGATGCGTGCACACCAATCCCGGGCCCAGGACGAGCCTGGCCAGGGTCGGTCCGCGTGCGTTAGATGTTGTATCTCGTCCGCTTTTTTTGAGCCTGGCGCACGCGCCACGGGGTCGGATCGAGGAGCGAGTGGAGATTTTGGAGCCGTTGGGGTGCCCTTGCCAGGATGGGCCACCAGAGTGGTCTGAGGTCCGGTTTGGGACGTGATCGTATATGTGGCGAGGGGACGTGCCTTGAAAGAAGGCGTGGGGGGCTTATCGGAAGGGATTTGCCCCTCCATGGAGGTTTCTAAGGGCGTTTCTCAGAAGGCAGGGGGGGCTCGAAGGGGCCAGGGGGGGAAGAACCACTACCGACCCCCACAGCCGACTTTTGCTGATCTGCCCTGTGCGTTTAACGAGGCACGTCGGATGCAAGCGGGAGATCAAGGCGAACGGGCTCAGCTTGACCATCTCTGGGACCAAAGGTACGCCAGGCCCAGGCTGCGGGGCCTCGGACACCGAGACGGCTTGGACGATCCCCGCCAGCATCCCGTCGCTGGAGTCCCTAGACATCGTGATCGACTTCTCCCCGAAGGGTGGTCCGAAGGATCTGCCGGCCAAGTGGGACGGCGATGGGATCAAGTTCGCAGATGGGAACAAGTGGAAGAAGCTCAACTAGGGCTTCGCTTCCCGCCTGAGCTATCGCTCTCCTTCTCTCTGCCTCCGCCGCTGTCTTTTTCTGGCGCGCTGTGTTTTGGCCTCTTCTGGCTTACGACGCAGGGAGTCCTCTTGGGCCTCGCCCCACTGCTGGCGTTGGAGCTGGGCGTATCTCCTCCTACGTGAGAAACATGTCTCTCTCCCGAGCTCCTCCAGCCCACTCCGTGGCACCTGTGCACAACGGCCTCGACCGACGACCGCAGCCACAGTTTTCATAGCTGCACGGACAGCCGACGGTAGGTTTGAGCCGCCTTGACGCGGCGGCGACGCGGACGTTCAAGCCTGAATTGCAATGGATGTCTGAACCCGGGCCAGTGCCAGTGTTGGATCCCGGCTGTCGGAAACTTGCGGTCGTTCAGGATCCCAGGCATCCGACGCCGTGATTCTGTTGTTCACAACGTGGACCCTGGAGGTATGGACTCTTTCCCCAGCATTGGTTGCTAATCCTCTGTGTTACTTTGTCGACCGGACGGGGCTAGGACGAAGATAAATCCGTTCCGGAGCGTTCCGGAACGCTTTGAGAAGGCCGCGGCGCCCGAGACATCTTCCAGAGCCGCCAGATCTCAGAGACTCTCGATTTCTCCTCACCCGAAATTGTACAGTGGAAACCCATGTCAAGAAACACCCTGCTTGCCTCTAGGGTGCCCTGGGGTTCTTGGGATTCGATGGTTCTACGTTGGAGAGCGCGACGTCCGCATACTAAAAATCAATGGACGTCCTGGGGTCTCAGGGTTGGGCTTCTTGTGGAAGGCTCCTTGTGGTCGAGCTACCGTGCTCGCCCTGGCCTCGTCCTACGACATTCGCCCCAGCTACCGTGCTCGCCCTGGCCTCGTCCTACGACATTCGCCCCAGGTCCCCCCCTCCCCGCTCACCCCCCCCCTCCCCCCCCCTCCCCGCTCAACCCCCCCTCCCCGCTCAACCCCCCTCCCCCCCTCCCCTCCCCTCGCCCTACGACATTCGCCCCCCCCCCCCCTCCCCGCTCAGCCGCCCGAAGAGCGCCGTCGTGCCTGCCACGGCGCGAGGAGGCGGCGGGGTGGAGCGACCCGCGCGGTGCCGGCAGCCCACTCCCGCGCGCCCCTCCGCGCGGGCTCTGCACCGTGGCCGCGGGGCAGGAGCTGGCGGCGGCCCCCCCCGCAGGGGCTCTGCCGGGAAGCTGGCTGCACACGTCGTGGCCACACGACGGAGGAGGAGGAGGAGGAGGAGGCGGCGGAGGCGGAGGAGGAGGAGGAGGCGGAGGAGGAGGAGGAGGAGGAGGAGGAGGAGGACTGGATGCACACGTCGTGGGCGTTGGTTTCCCAGCGCTCGGCCTTCGCGTGGCCCGCCACGGTGGTCCTCCACACCGGCAGCCAGCGAGTGGCCTCCAGAGGTTCCACATGTGGGTCCAGCCGCGTGTGTGTTTCCAGCTTCCTGGTGTTCCTGTATTTCGGCCCGATCGATCCGATCCGCGATCGACTCTGGCCGACCGCGGCACCGGGCGCGGCACCGATCCGCGAGGAGCGGAGGAGGAGGGGAGGCGGACGACGAAGAGGACACGACGACGTCAAGGGTCTCCGTCGCTGGCAGCGGCCACCGACGGCGCCGCCAGGTCCATGGAGGCGCCGTCGCATGGACCCCCGGCGGGCTGGCAGTTGGGCTCGCCGGGCACCCCGGTCGGCCGCCGCCAGCGCCCGCATGCCGTCACCGCCGCGGTCGTCGTCGCCGCCGCCTCCGCCGCCGTCGCCGTCTTCGTCGTCGTCATCATCTTCGTCGTCGTCGTCGAAGTCGTCGCCGCCGCCGCCGCCGTCTCGATCCTCAGGGCCACGCGCCACGCGCGCTGTCACTCGCCCAGTGTCTTTTGCGGCCAGCCACCGTGCCTGTGCGTACGGTGCTGCTCCAATCGAAGAGCCCTTCTCGCTCCCTCCTCTGTCCTGCATCCCCTGTTCCCTTTCTTTCATCCCTCCGCTCCCTGGTCGTGCGTGGTGCTCATGGTGATTCGTGTCCTCACTACCTCCCCCTTCTAGACGAAGTGCAAGCATGGGTTGAGGCGCGTGGATTAGCGACGGGCCCTGTCTCCGTGCAGAATCAAGACGACCTGTCGCCAGACCAGGTGATATCGGCTCCACTATTTGGGTGTACCTTCCCCGATCGGTGGATCTGGCTCCCACGTGCGAAATCCACGGGAACCTCGTATTTTGTATGTGGTGTATTCGATAGCCATTACAACATGCCTGCCGTCAATATGCTTTTAGCAAAACGCATGTGTTCAAAAGTCGTTGCAAACATAGCCAGATTTGAATAGCGTCGTGGAACGTCCCGATGCGATAATCATAGTACCTCTGGCCATCGGCTGTCGGATAATAGCAGCAACACGCGAAGCTGCAGCCGTTTTCGTGTCAGCCTGTCCATGCCGCGATCCGCAATCAAGGATGAGAAGGAGGCAGGAGGACGGTCAATCATGTATAATTGCGCAAGACAAGTTCTCGAAGTGGAAAATGGAGGATGTGGTGGAGGAGGAGGTGGATGGATGAGGTAGGAGGGATGCTCAGGACGAGGAGGAGTGATGATGCGGATGATGAGAAGGAGAGGGGAATCATCTGTAGAAATGATTTTTTAAGTGATGAATGTGATGAGGATGATGGCTGTGGTGCGGAGAACGATCATACGTATGATGGCCATCATGATCGGTGAGGACGTCCAGGACGAGGAGGAGGGGATCCAGGAGGGGAGGAGGACGAGCCAGGAAATGATGGGGTTGGAGGGAAGAGTCAAGCATGATGTTGTCGATGTTGGCGGCGATGAAGAAGCGGGGAATGAAGGACGAGGACGGGGAGCGCTGCGATAAGCTGAGCCATGTGCGACCTAATCAAAGAAATTAGACATGAAATACAGCAAGAGGCTACCACTCGCTCGAATATCGGTACTCGCCTCGGCGGGAGAGGCAGACGGCATCCACCCCAAGAGGCGGCGCTCCCCAGCAGTTCTGGGGGCCACCCTCGCTGCCGAGCTCGCGCTCCCGCCCGCGCCCCCCCACCAGAGCCGTCTTCCGCAGGGCCGCCGACCTTAACGTTCGGGGGCACATCCCAAGGGAGGGGAGGAGGATGAGGAAGAGGAGGAAAAGGAGGAGGAGGAGGAGGAGGAAGGCGTTGTGGCCCGGAGGCCCCCCGAGGCCACGCCTAGCGCGGCCACACTCCCCATACCGAACTGCCTCTTCCCCCACATACATCTCATTTCTCCCTTCAGGCCCGCGATCAGGATCCAACAGGAACCTGACCGGACAAGAACGGGAAGCGTCGCTTTAGTCCACCAAGCATGTGGAAAATGCTCGGTTGTTGTTATGCCGCGCAGATATGCCGTGGCGCGCGTGTCGGCGTGCGTGTGTTTTGCTGTGCTCCTGTGTGTTCTGCCGTGCTCCTGTTCTGCCGTGCTTCTGTGTTCTGCCGTGCTTCTGTGTGCTCTGTGTGCTCTGCCGTGTTCCTGTATCTGCCGTGCGGATCGTCGCGGTGGTCGTTTTGGCAGAGCTTCTGGGCGCACACGGCAGAAAAAGATCAGGAGCACGGCAGAATAGGCCCCAAGAGCGAAGGAGCACGGCAGAGAAAGACAAGGAACACGGCAGAATAGACCCCAAGAGCAAATGAGTACGGCAGATACACCCCAAAAGCTAAGGAGCACGGCAGAAAATGACCAGGAGCACGGCAGAATAGACCTCAAGAGCTAAGGAGCAGGCAGAAAAAGACGAGGAGAGCAGAGTAGGCCCCAAGAGCGAAGGAGCACGGCAGAAAAAGACCAGGAGCACGGCATAATAGACCCCAGGAGCCAAGGAGCAGGGCTGGATATGCCTCAAGTGCGAAGGAGTACGGCAGAGAATGACCAGGAGCACGGCAGGATAGACCCCAAAAGCTAAGGAGCACGGCATAGAATGACCATGAGCACGGCAGAATAGGCCCCAAGAGCGAAGGAGCACGGCAGAAAAAAAACATAAGCACGCCAGAGTAGACCCCGAGAGCTGAAGGAGTGCGGGAAAATAGACCCCAAGAGCGAAGGAGCAAACCAGAAAAAGACGAGGAGCACAGCAAAATAGAACCCAAGAGACAAGGAACACGGCATAATATGCCCCAAGTGCGAAGAAGCACGGCAGAAAAAAAAACAGGAGCACGGCAGACAAAGACCAGGAGCACAGCAGAATAGGCCCCATGAGCGAAGGAGCACGTCGGAAACAAACCAGGAGCATGGCAGAATAGATTCCAAAAGCTGCCGAGCACGGCAGAAAAAGACCAGGAGCACGGCAGAATAGACCCCAAGAGCTAAGGAGCACGGCATAACGGGCCCCAAGAGCGAAAAAGACGCCAGAAAAAGACCAGGACCACGGCAGAAGATGCCCCAAGAGCTAAGGACGACGGCAGAAAAGACCGAAACACAGCACAAAAGGCCCGAGGAGCCAAGGAGTACGACAGAAAAGACCAGGAGCACGGCAGAATAGGCCCGAAGAGCGAAGGAGCAAACCAGAAAAAGACGAGGAGCACGGCAGAATAGAACCCAAGAGACAAGGAGCACGGCAGAAGATGCCCCAAGTGCGAAGAAGCACGGCAGAAAATGACCAGGAGCACGGCAGAATAGACCCCCAGAGCTCAGGGGCACGGCAGAAAAAGACCAGGACCACGGCAGAATAGACCCCAAAGCTAAGGAGCACGGCAGAAAAAGACCAGGAGCACGGCATAATAGGCCACATGAGCGAAGGAGCACGGCAGAAAAAGACCAGGAGCACGGCAGCATAGACCCCAGGAGCCAAGGAGCAGGGCTGCATATGCTTCAAGAGCGAAGGAGTACGGCAGAGAATGACCAGGAGCACGGCAGGATAGACCCCAAAAGCTAAGGAGCACGGCAGAGAATGACCAGGAGCACGGCAGAATAGGCCCCAAGAGCGACGGAGCACGACAGAAAAAAAAAAACAGAAGCACGCCAGAGTAGACCCCGAGAGTTGAAGGAGTGCGGGAAAATAGACCCCAAGAGCGAAGGAGCAAACCAGAAAAAGACGAGGAGCACAGCAAAATAGAACCCACGAGACAAGGAACACAGCACAATATGCCCCAAGTGCGAAGGAGCACGGCAGAAAAAAAAACAGGAGCACGGCAGACAAAGACCAGGAGCACAGCAGAATAGGCCCCATGAGCGAAGGAACACGTCGGAAACAAACCAGGAGCATGGCATAATAGACTCCAAAAGCTGCCGAGCACGGCAGAAAAAAGACCAGGAGCACGGCAGAATAGACCCCACGAGCTAAGGATCACGGCCTAACGGGCCCCAAGAGTGAAAAAGACGCAAGAAAAAGACCAGGACCACGGCAGAAGATGCCCCAAGAGCTAAGGACGACGACAGAAAAGACCGAAACACAGCACAAAAGACCCGAGGAGCCAAGGAGTACGACAGAAAAGACCAGGAGCACGGCAGAATAGGCCCGAAGAGCGAAGGAGCAAACCAGAAAAAGACGAGGTGCACGGCATAATAGAACCCAAGAGACAAGGAGCACGGCAGAAGATGCCCCAAGTGCGAAGAAGCACGGCAGAAAATGACCAGGAGCACGGCAGAATAGACCCCCAGAGCTCAGGGGCACGGCAGAAAAAGACCAGGACCACGGCAGAATAGACCCCAAAGCTAAGGAGCACGGCAGAAAAAGACCAGGAGCACGGCAGAATAGGCCCCATGAGCGAAGGAGCACGGCAGAAAAAACACAGGAGCACGGCAGAATAGGCCCCAAGAGTTGAGGAGCACGGCAGAAGAGGCCCCAAGAGCGAAGGAACACGGCAGAAAAAAAACAGGAGCACGGCAGAATAGACCCCAAGAGCTAAGGAGCACGGCACAAGAGGCCCAAAGAGCGAAGGAGAACGGCCAAAAAAAGACCAGGAGCACGGCAGAGTAGACCCCAAGAGCTAAGGAGGACGGCAGAGAAAAAAAAAGGAGCACGGCAGAACAGGCCCGAAGAGCGAAGGCGTGCGGCAGAAGAAGACCAGACGGCAGAGTATACCCCAAGCGCTAACGAGAACGGCAGATAGACCACAAAAAGGAAGGAGCACGGCAGAAATGCGAGACGCTTGCGGCAGAGGAGCGAAGGAGCATGACAGGAAGAAGGTCTTCCCGTTCGGCTTTCGATAGACCACAAGAGCGAAGGAGCACGGCAAATTAGGCTCCAGGAACGAAGGAGCATGACAGAAAAACAGGAGCACGGCATAATAGATCCCAAGAGCTGAGGAGCACGGCAGAATAGGCGCCAGGAAAGAAGGAGCATTGCAAAACACGACCAGTGACCAGGAGCACGGCAGAATAGACCGCGGGAGCTAAGGAGCACGGCACGATAGATGCAATAATACAGCATAATACGCCCCAAGGAAGAAGGAGTATGCAAGAAAAACACAAGGAGCACGGCATAATAAACCCCGAAAGCGAATGAGCACGGCAGGATATGCCCCAAGAGCTAAGGAGCACGGCAGGAAACGACCAGGAGCACGGCATCATAAGCCCCAAGAACAAAGGATTGTGACAGAAAAATGGCCAGGAGCATGGCAGAACAGGCCCGTAGAGCGAAGGAGCACGGCACAAAACACAACGAGCATTGCAGAATAGACCCCGTGAGCGAAGGAGCACGGCAGAATTGCTCAGTAGTTGCTTTGCTCTTTTT